AAAGGAGGGTCTAGTATGAATGAACCTGATTATTTTAATTGAATGGTAAGTTTTCCCAAAATGTCCAGAACAAGTCTCCCCAAATCATTCAGAGCAGACTTCCCCCAAGATACCCAGGCAGGCCTCCCCAAGATAGTCGGATAGGTTTTCCTTGAAAGTTCAGAACAGGCCTCACTAAGATGTTTCACCTTGGCATATAGGTCATTTTGAGCTATGCTCACTCAAAGCCCTCAGGCTAATAGGAAATTTACCAATCCTTTAACCACATAGAAAAATGAAAATTGGAGGTATTATCCTGAATCAGGTTTTTGCCAGAAATAACCTTTTTTATCAGAGAAACTGATTTATGTATCAGGGCAAACATCTAATTGCAGAACATCTTTCATCTTGTAAGTTCCCTTCCTCTCCCTTATCACCTCAGGCCATGATTGCTTTGCTTAGCTCAAGATATAAATACCCTCAATTTACTCCACTTACTTTATAATCTACATCTATGTAGATTCTTCATACATATATAATTAAATTATGTAAACAAAGACATTTTCTCTTACAAATTTGTCTGATATTTTAATTGTTTGATCAACACACACACAAAAAAAAAATCCAGAAGGGTAAGGGGGAATTTTCTCTTTGTCCTAAAAGAAGTCTTCTCAAATGAATGATGTCCCTGATAAAAATGGGAATGACAACAATTTTTAACTTAGCTTTCTTGAAACTCTTAAAAATGCCTTGAAAATTGCCTTTGCATTTCTCATCTAACATGAGCCCCACTCATGCAGGACAAAGTCAGGTTTGAGCTGAGTCCATTCAGTTCAGTTAGGTCTTAGAATCCTTGCACTCAGGTTGGCATGCCAGCTTTTGATCTGAACATGCCCTCTCAGAGGACTTTCTATTCTCACAAGAATTTGGGAAAGTGCTTGGAGAGGATCCTGATCTCTCTCAAAGGCAGCTCAACTCTGGCTAAGTCAAAAGCACTGACTGTTCTCACTGCTGTTTTCAATGCAGTTCTTCTTTGTTTTGGAAAATAAAACAATAGTTACAAATATTTACATTTGAAATCAAAACATTTTGACAACAATTGCAGCTGCTAAATGATTTATGAAACTTGTGAAATCAAATAGAAAATAAGGCAAACATGTTGCTGCTAAAAAGGAAGGTCTCCCAGACTTTGATTTAGTGGAGGGTGCAGGTTTCCCAGAGCATAATTATGTAGTAATACTTCTTAAGGGAGTTTGGTTTAAAAATATGATACACTTAATTGCCATTTGATCATTAGCATTTTGTTGTCATTAACCTTCAGCTGACAAATTACCTACTTAGAAAAGATATATTTCAATTTGTACTGTAGAGGAGATGGTGTACTCCATGTATTTGGGTCAAAAGCCAAATCCTTGGATTAAAAACACTACTCTGGGATTCAGAAAAGGACAGGTCTCACTATTGCTTAAGCTTTTCAAGATCCATAGGTAATTCTCAAATAGTTAAAAAGGTTCATCAACCATAAATCACCTCTTTTTTTATAAATATTAACTTTTTTATTAAATATAAGGATAACTAGGGAGCCCTTCTTCAACACTGAGGTTCCATCTTTCGGAGTTAAACTACTGGCCTCATAAATTGAGGACTGTAAATTTAAACATCCCCAGGGATTTAGCTCTTCCCTGGGGAACAAGATTATCAGAATAAAAATGGCATGCATATGTAAGTGTGGAAAAATGTCCCCTTTTCCTCTTCTAAATTCTTTGACTGGTCCTCCCCAGTGGCGCAGCGGTTGAGCGCTGGGTTGCGAAGCTGCCCACAGCCTCTGCAGCTCTGGTTCGATCCCCGGCTGCTCCCCGGCCACCGGAGGAGGGTCCCGCATGGCGCGCAGACCTCTCCTGCCGCCCGCTGCTCCCCTCAGCAGTGTACTTCGGTCCTTCTGCCTGTTCTGCTCCCCACTTTGGCTCTGGTGAATTCTCTCACCCTCCCGTGCTTCTGACTGTACCCGGTGCTTGTATAAATAAATCTTTAAAAAAAAAAAAAAAAGAATGCTAAGAGCTTTCAAAATAAATAAATAAATAAATTCTTTGACTGAGCTAACAACCAAATTGACATAAAACAGATTAATAGGAGTGAAGATACTCAAACCAGACCATCCCAGACTCTCAGAATTGGTCTCCTTGAGACACCTGTTCTGGCGTGATTTTTATTTCAAATTGAGAGCATGAAGGCCCTGGAGGCTAAGAACAAGATCTTGCCTTTCCCATAATCCTTTTGCCCTTCCTTTAATCAAAGATGTTACCACTGCTGCTTTTTTTTTCTAGAGTAATGTCGCTTGCAGGGAAGGGGTATCTTCCAGGTGTAGGTTTATCAGCAAATATGTACTCCCAGAGAAACATCTTTCCTTGCAGAGTAAAGATGAAGCCATCGAGATGAAGCCATCACTTCTTTATCATATAAAGTCCCCCTCCTCTCTCCTCAGTTCCTTTGCTCAGGATTTAAATCCTTTTCTCCCAGACTGAAATCAGGACTTGAAAATATATTGTAGCTCTCACAAGTGCACATTATTAAATTGACAACCTATCTGATTACTGGAGTGTGGGTGTGGGGGGAGAAGGTTAATCAGATTAAAGTCAGATTGCTCTGCTAGTCTGAGAAGAATCCAGAGGTACGGGAGAATTTTATTCTGTGCTTCAAAAGGAGAAAGCCAAATTTAATTTCATATGCATTAGAGTTCCACAGAAATATGAAATGAAACTAAAATAAGGGACCAAAACAGGAAGCTGTGGTAACTTTAGACAAAGAAACAACACATTTGTGAGTTATTAACAGGATAAAGGGTTTACATTGCTGAAGTACCAAGATTTATTTAGTCTTCCCAGCTCTAAACTCCCTGCCTCTGGTGACATCGATGACTTCGAGGGTCAGAGTGTCCTTTCTCTTGTTATTTCTCAAGTATGTTTATTTCAAAATAATATGTCAAAGTGACATTTTTGGTGGCATATTCTGCTCCCCTTCATGTATTATAGCAGAGGAAAAATAATTTCCCTCTGCTCTTCTAGGTTCTTAACTGAGATGCTCCCATAGGAGAAGATTAACCAGAGAGAAACAAACAAAATTGCAATGCACATACACCTGCCATGTACATGGGAGAGCTCTAAGAAAATTGAATACTTCCCCAAATGTCCAGGTTACCATTATAAATACCATCTCTAACTAAACAGAAAAGAAGATGTAAAGGAAGCCAGTTGTGGGATGTAACCAGGAAAGCATAGTAAACAAGTGTATGGTTGTTATGCCTATTTAAATCTTCTAGAGCTTTAGGGTGTCTAGAGTTTTAGTCATACTCCTGGTATAGAAGGAAAGATACCCTTGCAAGTGGAGATTTCCCTTATAAATGTAAATATCTCTAACAAAATGGCAAATGCTACTTATATTTTAGAGTCTTTCTTGTGTCCACTATTTCATAAAAATAACCAGCTCAAGATAATCCTTATGCCATAGAGGCCTATTATGTGATATATCATTATCTGCTCTTCTTCACTAGACTCAAAGACTTGAACTTGAATCTCTTCTCTGACTCTTATTAATGAGTGACTTGGGGCAAATTACTTAATTTCTCTGAATATCTGTTTCCTCAAATATAAAAAAAAAAAGGGAAAACCAGCCACATGGAAATGCTATTGAATATTTAATATGATGATTCAAGTAAAGAACTTAATAGACTAACAGGAGCTGGTGTTGAGCCCAGAGAAATACTCAGTTTGTAATATAATTAAAAAGGGCATTTATTTGGATTATGAATTCACGTTCACAACCAGAGGGCATTCTCCCAAGATGTGTTCCACCAAGTGAGGACATAGGGGGAGTTTTAAAGAATGAGGCAGGAACATGATTTGAGGTAAGGTTATTTGTGGTGACACTTCTGGGTTGCTCCATAAGTCCATCTGTCTGTCTGTATGGGGATCTCTTGTCAGATCAGCAGAGAGCTCCTATGTCTTTGCAGTCACTGAATTACTGAGTCAGCAGTTTAATTTTCACCTAGAAGTCTCAGCGAGGCAGCTTATAGACAAGATGGAATCCGTTGGACTCAAAACAGATTCTACACCGACTAAACAGTACTTCTAATTACTATAAGGATTTTGGAGGGATTTAAAATGATTGGCCAAACTCATATGTATGTGAATCCACAAAGCACAGGGACTTATGTAGAGCAAAGTGGGAACTCTGGTTAGTGAGACAGATGCTTTTCCAAACAACCCTTGCAGCCAAAAGATGAATTTTCCTCTATGGGGCCACAGACATGCATGGATATTCAAGGTCAAGAGCAAGGAAATCTAGCTGTGGATTAGGGACAGATAAGAAAAAAAAAAAAAAAAAAAAAAAAAAAAAAAAAACTGCCTGCCAAAAAGGGGGAAGGGCAAAGATGATACTGGAAGAAATCCAAACTCATCAATGTAGCATAGTAGGGGCTAAAGGTATTTAAGGGAAGGAGTGAAACAGGACCTCAGTGTTGCAATCACAGGGCCAGTAAAGCAGTGATGCTCAGAGAATGGGAGTTAGGATGAAAACTAGAAGAGAATCCAAGTGAACCACAGGGTCCCAATGGTGTGGAATTGGCAGCGTGAGCAGAATTGATAGAGCATGGACTGAAGAGGACTTGTGGCAGAAAGAGAGAGAGAGAGAGAGAGAGAGAGAGAGAGAATATGAATATGAATATGAATATTAGGCAGAGCAAGAGACAGAGGAAAAGACAGAATGCTTCCCCAGAGCAATTGTATAGGAGGCAGGATGTCAATGTGGTAGTAGTAGAGAGATCATGGGAATTGGTACTTCCCAAGAATGACCAGATAAAGGAAATCCAATGCTTAAAAACACCACCTCAGAAAATTTTACTTCTGTGATAGTTATGAGCATTGTGCCCCACCCCAATAAATTGCCAGGAAGTTGAGAAGCAGGAATTCAGAATTTGAACAGAGAAATAATGCACAGAATTGCATAATAGCTTCCTTTTTCCTCAGGTTGGAGAACCTGAAAATGCTTCTGATGCAGGGCTATGAGTAGCCATGCAAGATCATCTGTGCAAAGTCATGTGTACTTTCAATCGAATCAAGGTGAAGGAGAAACCACTTTGGGCTGCTGATGTCTAAGGTAAGCTTCATTTTAAACTGAGTCCTGAAGATAGGAGTTAGATTTTAAAAGATAAGAAGAAATGAAAATTAGTATGAGCAAACACAGAGGGGTTAAGGGGATCTTGCGTATTCAGAAATTAGTATCAGAGCTGCAAGTCAGGCAAATAGACTCAAAAGGTAGGTATCCCAATATGGCTAGCTTTTTAAAATTATTATTATGTTTATTTACAATGCTGTATATGTTTAGGGCTATAGCTTCACACCTGTACAAACATAAGTTATCACACCATGCCAGCTACCAAAGCACCAGTAATCTTCTACTGTAATCTTCACAGTGGATAGTTTTGAAACCCAGGCCCAGACACTTGATCCTAAGCCAGAGAAATAGACAGATGTTGATTTTTTTTAAAATGATTTGTTTATTTATTTATATAAGAACCAGGGTACAGACCAGATGCACGGGAGGGTGAGAAGATTCACCAGAGCCAGAGTGGGGAACAGAACAGGCAGACTGACAAAATACACTGCTGAGGGGAACAGTGGGAGAGACAGGAGAGGTCTGCTTCACCATGTGGGACCCTCCCGGCTGGTCGGGATTGAACCAGCGCTGCAGAGGCTGTGGACAGCTTCACAGCACGGCACTAAACTGCCTGCGCCACCAGGGGAGGCCCTGAACAGATGTTGATTTTTGACTATCTATCAAGCTGTTACAATAAAACTCCCTAAATGTATGATTATTTTTGTTAATGGTCTTCATTGTCTTTGCTGACAATATTTTCAAAACCATCAAATACTGACTAAGAATACAAACACAATATTTGTTAAAATCTATTTTAAAATAATAATTATAAAAATCCATTTCTGAAAGACCACTGTCACTTCTTCCTCCCTTAATGCCTGTAGCGCACAAAGAAAGATACTATTAACATTTAGTATCTGCTGCGGTCACCTTGGCATAATGGAGTGAACACAGACTTTAATGGCATTTTAATTATATTTACCATGGGGAAGATGTCACATAGGAGATGTGAAGCTTCTATATTTAGAAACCTGTATGAATACATGAATAAAGGAAAATAACATGCAACAAAACACTATTTCCCTTCCTTTTCTTCTTACAGTTTAAATACATATGGTGTTGTTCTGTAGTGCAAATGTCTAAGTGCCTTTAAAACTTATGGGAGTTCACTACATATGGAGAGGAGGGATATATGTCATGTTTTACATGTTATGCATGAGAAGTACATCGCCAGGACATGTTATTAATTGAATCTACTTTTTATGGAATGACAAGAGAAGGCAGATGTAGGGACAGAAGGGAAATTTACCCCTTCCCCCTTGGTTCTTCTTGGGCTGGTTGAGTAATCGAAACAGCATCAGACAGATTAGCAGGAGAAAAATATCAATTATATACCCATGAGGAATCTATCTAGATGATGAGGATTTTGTCTTCACTGGGGGAGGCAAGGTTACACAGCATGTGTTAAGGAATGGAATAGGGGCCTTGGGCTTCAAGGAGAGAAGAGGGGGATTCATGACAAAGCCAGATGCTCTGTAGGTAGATGTTTGCAAGGATATAGACATAAGTGTCTCCAGTAGAAAGATCATTTCTGGTAATAATCCTAATTCTGGGTAATAGCCACCATTTTCTAGATAGTTAAGGGATTGATAATAGTTCCTCCTGTGCCTTCAGGGGCTCAATTGACGTTAGCTAATGTCACATGCCAAAGTTGTATGACTTAAGGTGACCTGTTCTGTGCATCTTGGGGAACCTCTTCTGAATAATTTCAGAAGAGGTGTATAATAAAAACTTACAGTTTTATCTCTACTCTAAAAAAAAAAATGGTGCAGGTTCCCCCAGAAACTCAAAAGACAGTAGACATTCTCTACTGTATATTACAGACAACATTTCTCTAGCACTAGAGAGACAGAAAACCTGAGACCAAGCAGTTTTTTAAACTTTTGCCATAGTAAAAGCCTAAAACTTTTCAGAAATGCCAGGATAGGGAACATGAGAACGAGGTGCCTTCTGAGTTATTTCTATAATTCCCACATAAAATATGACTAGACACTCAGCAATCAAGTCTATACCTTCAGTGGGAACTAAATGAATCAATTCAGAGCATCCAGGCGCTTTCTGTAGGACTGAGTCATGCTAGCACCCAAGTGCAGCAGGTGGCAAAACTCTGATTGGAAGCTCTTGGAGAGTTTTTGACACCTCCTGAGAGTTCTGGAAGAAGGTCCACGGAATCTGAAATGGTATCATAAGTATTCCACTTTGGAATACTTCCAGAAAAGTTAGTTAGAATTGGAAACTGCCCACACAATAAGGTAGAGATTTCTCAAATCTCTTTGAAGAGCTTTAAAAGTAAAGAGTTCTCAACACATCATCAATGTACTGAGGAAATCCAATATAGCAGCACTTCAATAAGCTCCATGAGCTTATTTTCCAGTCCTAAACTAGATGTTAAGGCTGCCCTTGTCTAGGGAGCCCTGGGGACCACCTGCATGAGAATGAGGGGTGGAAGAAGCTGTTAATAATATAGCCAAGGCTAGTGTATAATAATATACCCAGCACACAAGGCTGCTGAATAGAATCTCCTGAGAATGGAGATAGGACTTGATCATCTGTATTTTGAAAGCTCTCACTTCACCCCACCCCAGTGATTCTTTTATATACAAAGAGAAACACTCCAGGAAAAATATGGAATCTTTTTTTTTTTTTAATTTTTTTAAGCTTTTTTTTTTCTTCACTTTTTTTTTTTTTTATAGAGGCATGTTTTATTTATTTATTTATTTATTTGTTATTTATTTATTTATACAAGCACTGGGTACAGTCAGAAGCGCGGGAGGGTGAGAATTCACCAGAGCCAGAGCGGGAGGCAGAGCAGGCAGAAGGACCGAAGGACACTGCTGAGGGGAGCAGCGGGCGGCAGGAGAGGTCTGCGCGCCATGTGGGACCCTCCTCCGGTGGCCGGGTAGCAGCCGGGGATCGAACCGGTGTCGCAGAGGCCGCGGGCAGCTTCTCAACCCAGCGCTCAACCGCTGCGCCACTGGTGAGGCCCAAATATGGAATCCTAAAAAAAGGAAAACTAACAATGTCTCCTCCTCGCAGAACTTTATAGTGACCTTTTATTGGAAGAATTGAGGAACATGCATTAGATTATAGTTGTTTTCTACTAATGTTATACTCTAAATTAATCAGGAGTTGTGTGACAGAATAAGCAGGGCATGACTGGATGACTCATTGCAAACAATTTTAAGAAGTTGCTATGGGCCAAGCACTCTAATTTTTTTCAGCATATTATCTCATTGAATCCTGTTAGAAAAGAAAAGTCAACCCAGTAAGTTTCAAGATTTTATTGGCTGTGTGCAATGATTCATGAATTGGGCATTATCCAGTGTAGCAGATAGAAAGGAGTTCTAAGGGACTGCGAAAATCAAGACTTTTATAAGCAGAAAGGGAGCAGGCACAAGGAAATTATTCTAGGCAAAAAATGGGTTGATTATTACAAGGTTGGTTTCTGGTGGGGATAGTGGGGTCTGTTTTGCTGATTTCCTAAGCAGTGCTGTTCAGATGACTTCTAATCAGGTTTAATATTCCATTTATGGAAGAGCCATAACTGTAATTAAGTAAAGTCTTAGTTTATCGACATAGGGCTTAACAAAAGTGACTCCAATTGGGGCCTGCTGTCTTATTTGCAATTCATATGAAGAATTTACCTGATAACCAGGTTCTTTATTATCCCCAATTTTTAGTGAAGGGAAGCAGGCTATGCCACCCTAAAATATGCCTGCAAGGGGAGAGGTGAAATTATTATTCTGAACAGGTAAAAATTAGATGAGGATTTGCTAGTCAGATCCTGTGCAATGCAAGTGGTGATCAGGGAGAAGACAAACAAGAGAGAAAGCGACAGTGTTAAGCTCTATCCAAAGGCAACATTTCTACGTAATTTTCTTCTGGGTAGAAAGATGAGTGATATAAATAAACAAAACAAGGCAAAAAGATTTAAAATAAAGAAATCAGAGTACCCTGCAGGTCCTGGAAACAAAGATAACAACTCCTTTCAGACATAATAAAGATCTAATAGTCTGCCTGTTTTTCATTAATTTTTATGTATTTAGGAATGTGAGTTATTGTAAGGTGGTCAAGCTGCCTTTAGTTACTTCTTTCTATGTATAGAATAAAACATAGGCACATTCCCATAAAACATGTGACACTACTCTCCATGGATTTTTTTTTTAAATATTTTATTATTTTTTATTTATTTATTTATACAAGGACTGGGTACAGTCAGAAGCGCGGGAGGGTGAGAGAATTCACCAGAGCCAGAGTGGGGAGCAGAGCAGGCAGAAGGACCGAAGTACACTGCTGAGGGGAGCAGCGGGCGGCAGGAGAGGTCTGCGCGCCATGTGGGACCCTCCTCTAGTGGCCGGGGAGCAGCCGGGGATCGAACCGGCGCTGCAGAGGTGCGGGCAGATTCGCAACCCAGTGTTCAACCGCTGCGCCACCGGGGAGGCCCTCTCCATGGATTTATTAAAAAGACCCCCAGAGAAGAGTGTTATAAAATCTGATCAAGTCAGCAGTTCCAGCTGTGTAATTGATATCCATTATTTTCTATTGACTGCTGTGCAGAACTTCAATTTCTGTAGCATAAACAGAATTCCCATTTCTTTTGCAAGGAGACTGCCATGGGGTATTGCTAAAAATAGGGTTCATCAGCAATATCATTTCATAAATTCCCAGAGACTTTTGGGAAAGTTCTTCAGAGAATGGTTTCCTACAAATGTACTTCTTCTCTGTATATCATTTTTATATTTCAAGGCATTTCATTTGTTTTACATGATTGTTCTCTATGCATAACATATAAGATAAACAGAGTACAACCATCCAAAGGATCAACAAACAACTTAGAAAAAACATGTTGGAGACTATCCAGTGCTCCATTTTTTTTCCCTTCAGTTCTTTATAGATTCTTAACACTAAGAAGATACTATTTTCTTCTAAGAACAAGATAA